CCTAACCCCTAACCCCTAACCCTAACCCTAACCCCTAACCCTAACCCCTAACCCTAACCCCTAACCCCTAACCCCCTAACCCCTAACCCTAACCCTAACCCAACCCTTAACCCTAACCCCTAACCCTAACCCCTAAACCTAACCCTAAACCCTAACCCTAAACCCTAACCCCAACCCTAACCCCTAACCTAAACCCTAAACCCTAACCCCTAACCGTAACCCTAAACCTAACCCCTAACCCTAAACCCCTACCCCTAGCCCTAAACCCTAACCCCTTAACCCTAACCTCACCCTCACCCTAAACCCTAACCCCTAAACCCCTGACCCTAACACCCTCACCCCCAACCCCTAACCCAACCCTAACCCCTAACCCTCTCCCTCTCCCTCTCCCTAACCCTACCCCCTAACCCTTTAACCCTAACCCCTAAACCCTAACCCCAAACCCCTTAACCCCTCTAACCCTACCCCCTAACCCCTAACCCTACCCCTAACCTACCCCTGACCCCTAACCCCTAATCCTAAACCCCTCACCCAAGCCCTAGCCCTAACCCAAAACCCTAACCCTTAACCCTGACCCTTGACCCTGACCCTAAACCCCAACCCTTAACCACTAAACCCAACCCCAAACCCTTACCCTCTAACCCCAACCCCCCAACCCCAACCCTCTAACCCTAACCTCCTTAACCCTTAACCCCCTTAGCCCAACCCTACCCCTAACCCTCTAACCCCCTAACCCTAGGCTCTAACCCCTGACCCCAACCCCTAAACCCTAACCCCAACCCTCACCCCTAAGCCGTGACCCCTGACCCTAACCGTTAAACCCTAACCCCTACCCCCAACCCCTAAACCCCTACCCCTCTAACCCCAACCCCCACGCTGACCTTAACCCCTAACCCCTAACCTACCCCTGACCCCCGACCCCTAAACCCCTACCCCAAACCCTTAGCCCTAGCCCTGACTCTTGACTCCTAGACCCTGACCCTAACCCCCAACCCTAAACCCCAACCCTTAACCCCTAAACCCAACCCCAAACCCTTACCCTCTAACCCCAACCCTCTAACCCCGGACCCTAACCCCCTTAGCCCAACCCTACCCCTAACCCTCTAACCCCCTAACCCTAGACTCTGACCCGACCCCAAACCCTCACCCTTAACCCTGACCTGTGACCCTAGACCCTAAGCCCCAACCCCTACAACCCTAACCCTTTGCTTAACCCTAACCCCCCACCCCCAACCCCCACACCCTACCCCCACCCCACCCTAACCCCTAAACCTAAACCCTATGCTTAACCCTAACCCTCACCCTACCCCCCAACCCCTCACCTTGACCCCTAACCTGACCCTTGACCCTAACCCCTAACTAACCCCTCTAACCATACCCCTACTAACCCTAAACCCTGTAACCCTAAACCCTAACCCCTCACTCTACCCTTAAACCCCAACCCCTCAACCTAACCCTACCCCAACCCCTAACCCAACCCTACCCCTCACCCCCACCCTAACTCCTAAACCCTACCCTCAACCCGGCCCTAACCCCTACCACAAATCTTAACCCCCAACCTTAATCCTAACCCCCACCCCACTGCCAAAACCCTCACCCTAAACTCTCACCCCCCTAATCCGAACCCTAACCTAACCCCAACCCTCACCCCTAAACCCCACCCCTTGACCCCTAAAACCATAACAAACCCTAACCCTAAACAAGTGTATCACCACAGGGGAACCTAGGTCCTTCAGGATAGCTACAGTGGGAGGGAACTTGCAACAGGGAAAAGTAGAGTTCCATATGAGAACACAAGTGACAGAAGCAGTACATAGATATTGATTCTTGCTAGAGAGTGTCAAGGGAGACTATGCCAGGCTGGGGAAGATGCTTAAGGAAATCAAGGTTCAGGTGATTTTCAGTGGGATTGTGCCTGTTCCTAGAGAAGGGCAACAAAGATGTGACAAGATTATGATGCTCAACAGATGGCTCAGGCACTGGCGCTATAAGGAGGGCTTTGGGATGTATGGCCACGGGGAAGCATTCAGGTACAGAGGACTGTTCTTGTGGGATGGACTTCACCTGAGTAAGGAGGGAAATAGACTCCTAGGATGGCACAACTGATCAAGAGAGCTTTAAACTAGGAATCTGGGGGAGATGTCCAGGTAATCTCCGAGCTGGATTTTAACATTGAGAGGGAAGAAAACAAAGTAAAAAAGGATACAGCTGTGGGTAGCGGAATGGACATAATGAGGAAGGGTAGTGTACATACCAGTCTTATAGGGGATACTGGCGGTAGAATATCTGTGCCTAATCGGGTAAAGAATGTGAGCGAAGCCAAAACAGCAAAAATTAAGATGTTTGTACACTAATATGAGGAGCCTAGGTAACAAAATGGAGGAACTAGAGCTACTGGTGCAGGAAGTGAAACCAGATATTATAGGGATAACAGAAACATGGTGGAGGAGTAGTCATGACTAGACTATAGGTATTGAAGGGTATGTGCTGTTTAGGGAAGACAGAAATAAAGGCAAAGATGGTAGAATAGCATCGTATACACATCAACGATGAGGTAGACTGTAAAGAAATAAGTGATGGAATGGATAAGAGTCTGTCTGGGCAAAAATCACATTGGGGAAGAACGCTGCTAGAGCCTGCCCTGGGATAGTGCTTGGGATGCGCTATAGCCTGCTGGGAGCTGATCTGGATATGGATAGACCCCTCTAATGTTTTTAATGAAGTAAATACTAATGGGAATTGTGTGATCGTAGTAGACTAACTTCCCAGATATAAACTGGAGGGGTTTAACCCAAACCCCAAACCCCTTAACCCTCCCCCCACCCCCTGACCTTAAACCCTAAACCTCCCCAACCCTCACCTAAGCCTACTCCCAACACTAAACCCCTAACCTGAGCCCTTTAACACCCTAACCTGCCCCTGAACCCTATCCCTCAACCCTGAACCACCCTAACCCTAACCCTCACCCGTGCCCCCTAACCCACCCCAACAACCCTGACCCCAACCTAACCCTACCCCCTCCCCTAACCCACCCCAACCCGACCCCTAACCCACCCCTAACAACCCTGACCCCAACCTAACCCTACCCCCTCCCCTAACCCACAAAAGGGACTAACAACCTATACTAAGAGCTACTAAAACTACACCTTCTATAACAAAATTTTTATAAATAAAAAGCTACAGAACACCACATTGGAACAGTTTGCTAGAGCACGAGGACGTTCCAGCATCAACACTGGCAGTAAGAAGGAACTTATACTGGCGCATGTGTGCGCCACTCAAGAGGGCACCAGAGCTGGCCCTATGGTTACCACTAGGGGAAATATTCTGGCACTGGTGCATGTGGCAAGCACACACACCTGACATAGAATGGACATGACCAAGCACTTGAAGAACAGGCCTTAAGTCATTCTCTCCAACTTATCAACATGATAAAGGTGGTGCATTCCAGGTGACTAAAATGTTACCTTGCCTTGAAAAGGCTGTCCAGTATCACTGCAAATACTTACTGGAGTGCATTGCTCCCTACGGTGAAGTCTGTCTCTGAGTTGGACTTCAGCTTGACATGCTGCAGAGAGCCCAGGATAGAAATAAGGATTTCTGGAGCCCATAGGCTCAGCCTTGGAGTTCCTGAGGCCCCAGGCCTGCCTTTACAGAAAATGGTGGATCCTTTGGGTCCAGTAAACTAAAGAAATACTCCTAGGAAACTGTTTGAAGCATTTTAAGCCACCATATCAGATCAGAGACCCAGAGCCTGTGAATTGATGACATCCCATAATCCCCTCTACCCCTACTTCTAGAACTTGGTATGACAGATTGCAGTGGATACATCCTTTTATTGCCATAAAGTACCACCAAAATTAAGAGGACAGTTATGACTTCACATAACTTCACCCAGCAGTAAAACTAGTGAACCCTCTCTATATCAACAGGTGACACATGGATAGCATAAAATGGTTCTAAAGGCAGGGTGCACCTGCAGAGTGACATCCTGATTGTTAGCACTTCACCAGCTGGAAATAGCATACTTGCAGCACCAGCATTCCAATTGCTCTTCAGTATCCTTTCTGTGTGATGAAAGCCACAGCTAGTAGGCTCCAGTTCAGCAGAGGAAGGGGAGAGCTACATCTCATTTGTCCTTGGCAAGCTGGAGGAGAAGTCAAACATTACACAAGTATGTATAGGTCAGGAAGAGAGGATGGGGTCTGATGCTATCCTCCACCCTAAACCAGCAGGACGTAAACAGAGGAAGAATTTTCCCCAAAAAGTTAAGTGCCTGAACAGCTAGTGTTGTCACAGTGGGCAGGTGTGGCCTTTGAGCCAATGAAGCAGAAACAAAGCAAAATTTCACCAGTGGTATAAGATGTACCCAACAGCTGCGCTGCTGAAACCAGATCAGCCTGTGCTTGTGCCTTGCAGATGTAGCCCAGTGGATCCTCAGCTAGATTTCCAATTCTCCTTCTCTTCTGCTTCAATGTATCTGTGTAGAGAAGCCTAGGGGAAAAAACCAAGAGATTTCCAGTGAATCATTTCTCATTTAGCCTTTCTATGGAAGGGGAAGGATTGGGCCTAGGGAACTCACTTCCATTCTGTGCAGCGGATCAGTTAGTGGGCTGTAATCTGAATAGGACTCTTAGACTAAACATCCTTCTTCTATCACATGCTTCCCCGTCTACTCTTCCCTGACTTTCCCCAATCCTGTCCCTCTCATCACTACCTGCTGCTCCTTTGCTTTTTGTGGGGGGATTCCGAGTTTTGGTGCCCGTCTCGGCTTGCAACGGCTAATGGAGATCAATTGCTGAATTTACCTGAGATAGAAGTTGTTCTTTCTGTAAGTGACTGTAGAACTGTAGCACGTGTGGATTGGCTCTCACAACGTTGGGATCAAAATCCAGAACCCGGAGGCCCTCAAGGCTACGGGCTCGGGAAAGGGCTACATAAGCCTGACCACTTTCAAAGACTCGAGACAGGGAGATCTCCACACAGTCTAATGACATACCCTAGTGCATGGAAGACACAGGTAAAAGCCAGTGAGCTTGCAACACAAAAGCCATCCCACACATCTTCATATGGGACCCAATTGTCCCATCCACAATATAGTGATGAAGGTATGAATGTCAGGAAAACACTGCTCCTATTAACATCTACCCCTTCTCAATGCAAAGGGAACTTCTCTATGAACTTGGCAGGAAGCAGATCAATGGGATTGAAAAAGGACTTCCTGGGGACATTTAGATGAAATGGAGTAGGATTGTTCTTAGTCCCTCTTCTAACTTCCTTTTAGACACTTCTGAGAATTCTGATCTCCCATGGTTAAGAAAGATTAATTCAAAACTGGAACAGGTGCAGAGAAGGGCTACTAGGATGATTAGAGGAATAGAGAACCTACTTTTGAGAAGAGACTTGGCATGTTTAGCCTAACAAAATGAAGGCTGAGGGGAGAGATCATTGGTCTCTAAGTACATCAGAGGGATAAACAGTAGAGAGCGGGAGAAGTTAAGGGTTAATGCTGGCACAAGAATGGTGTGACCCTACACACTGACTATTGTAATAATCTTTGAACAAAATAGGCTTTGTGAGGTATCATTTGAAAACTAATAATTTGCTAATCAATAATATCATGGTGAAATGTATGCAGCAATATTGTCTGAAGTTATGAATTGTCCCGATATGATGTTTCACATGTTCAAAACAAGACAACGGTGCCTAGGCAAAAGTTGTTAAACAAGTCTATCCTAAATAAAGGAAAATGAGGTTACTCACCGTCAACTCTGTGTGGTCCCTATCTGTATTCCACTGTGGGTTTTATACATGTGCCTGGAGCTGGAGCTTTTGAAAGTAGTACTGTTTGGTGGTCTTCACATGCACCCTGCACTGCCTTGTGGTTTTGTCCAAGGCACTAAAGGGTGTGGCAGGCTGCCAGCATCTCCAGTTCCTTCTCCAATGCAGACCTATGGGATCCACAGCAGAGGGGATGTAGGGCAGGCAGTGTAATACAGATAGGGACCATGCATCTCAAAGCGCCTCCAGTTACAGGTAAGTAACCTTGTTTTCTTCTTTGAGTGATGGCAAGAGTTCCTTGAATTTTAGCCTAGTGGACCAGGAACAACAGGCATCGCGGCTTAGCAGTGCCTGGTGGTTGCAGATTCTCAACTGGAGGCCCCCCCATTGAGTATACTTTCCTCCCCAACAGGTCCAGTTTCCTGTCTTCCTTTGCCTTAGGTGGAGGGTCCTTGCTGCCCTTATCTTTCCTGCTCATTAGCAGCGGCCGCAACCAGGGATCTTGGTGGGGGTTGGGTGTACAAATACTCATACCCCTTCGGGGGCAAAAAATACTTTCTCTACACCTGCTTTGCAATGGGCTAGAGGGATGTGGGGGGTTTGCCACAGAGCCCTCATGGGATGCAAGATGGCCTTGTTCAATGATAAGGCCAACCCTTGCCAGTCCTGAGGGTGCCAATGTGTCCACCAAGGCTGGGGCTGACTCCGTGATCTCCACTTTAATGCCCAGGTTCTGTGCCACCTGACAAGAGCTCCTGGGGAGCCTTGTAGTTGTCTTGTATAGATGCTATAGCCATACCCACCACCGCCTCATCAGGGAAAAAGGACAAGGAGGCTTGGACTGGCACCAGGTTTGTATGTCTGCCATTGCTGGCCAGTGTCCCGCTGGGGTATCCTGGGCATCGCTGACTTCTGCCCCTGGAATGGAGCCCCTCTCCAAGGGGGTGGGGGGGGAGGTGGAGGTACTCTTGCCTCTGATGGCGCTGAGCAAGATTGCCCTGAGTGGGAGCCCTGGAACAGTTGAGCTACCCAAGGGGTCCAGACTGGCCACTGGAGTGACATCTGCCACTGGCTAAGAGGCCAGGCTGATGGGACAAGCCCTTTAGTCATGGCTACCAGGCACCTAGGGCCTGCCTGATGTCAGCTTCTTTGTGAGGTGTACAAGTCTACCTGTGATTCGGTGCCCAATGACCCACTCCTGGGAGACCACGGTGGTGCTGGGTAGTGGTGCTGTGATGGTGCGGGGTGCCAGGATGGTGAGTGCTGATGTGTGAGTGCTGATGTGTCTGATGTGTGAGTGACACCGTGGGGGACGAGCCCCGCAAACATGAACGTTATGGTGGATGGTGTCTCACCATCATTGCTAGCCTGCCCTAGGCCGGTACCTGCCTTTGTGGAATGGAGTCCTGCGATGCCGGACCTGTCCCTTATTGGCCATGATTTGGGGAACATGGCAGTGCTGGAAGGGCCAGGAGGCTCCTCGCTGCCTCATATGCCCCAGGGTGTCAGTGGTGCAGCCAGGGCTGTATCCCTTCTATTGCTCACTCTAGATGGGGAATCCATGGGCACCAGACACAATGGACTTCCTCCTGGTACCGAAGCCAATGGTGTCAACAGTTCAATGTCTGTTTGAGACCTGTGCTGGGCCACTCTCACTCTCTCAGGCGTCTTCCTCAGTGGGGAGCACCCCATGTCTGACTTTTTCCATCTTCTGTGGCACCGGCGATGGAGAGCAGTGCTGTGTGGATAGTGCTGACTTCTTAGCTGGAGAAGTATGTTGGTACCAGGTGGTAGTTGGTGCTAGGGATCTTGGGCCATGCTGAGCCCCTCTAAAGGAGGCCAGAACACTCATAACCAAGGAGGTACTTGGTGCCGGATTGGATTGATGCTCTGACGAGGGGCAAAGTGCTGCCCCCATGAGAAGGGATTTGAATCTATTATCTCTCTTCTTCCTGGTTCTGGGTTTAAAGTTTTTACAAATCCAACACTGTTCCTGAACATGACCTTTCCCCAGGAACTTCCAGCAGCTATTGCGCCGGTCACTAACAGGCATGGGCTTGTAGCACACTGCTTAAATCCCCAGGATCCAGGTATACTCTGGCACCCCGGGCAGGCTCTCTTGGCAGGGTAGGAACTTACAAACATTTAAAGCTATCATAGAATAGAATATCAGGGTTGGCAGGGACCTCAGGAGGTCATCTAGTCCAACCCCCTGCTCAAAGCAGGACCAATCCCCAATTAAATCATCCCAGCCTGGGCTTTGTCAAGCCTGACCTTAAACTTCTAAGGAAGGAGATTCTACCACCTCCCTAGGTAACGCATTCCAGTGTTTCACCACCCTCCTAGTGAAAAAGTTTTTCCTAATATCCAACCTAAACCTCCCCTACTGCAACTTGAGACCATTACTCTTTGTCCTGTCCTCTTCTACCACTGAGAATAGTCTAGAACCATCCTCTTTAGAACCACCTCTCAGGTAGCTGAAAGCAGCTATCAAATCCCCCCTCATTTTTTCTCTTCTGCAGACTAAACAATCCCAGTTCCCTCAGCCTCTCCTCATAAGTCATGTGTTCCAGACCCCTAATCATTTTGTTGCCCTTTGCTGGACTCTCTCCAATTTTTCCACATCCTTCTTGTAGTGTGGGGCCCAAAACTGGACACAGTACTCCAGATAAGGCCTCACCAATGTCGAATAGAGGGGAACAATCACGTCCCTCGATCTGCTGGCTATGCCCCTACTTATACATCCCAAAATGCCATTGGCCTTCTTGGCAAGAAGGGCACATTGCTGACTCCTATCCAGCTTCTCATCCACTGTCACCCCTAGGTCCTTTTCCACAGAACTGCTGCCTAGCCATTCGGTCCCTAGTCTGTAGCGGTGCATTGGATTCTTCCGTCCTAAGTGCAGGACCCTGCACTTATCCTTATTGAACCTCATCAGATTTCTTTTGGCCCAATCCTCCAATTTGTCTAGGGCCCTCTGTATCCTATCCCTACCTGCCACCGTATCTACCACTCCTCCTAGTTTAGTATCAGCCGCAAATTTGCTGAAAGTGCAATCCACACCATCCTCCAGATCATTTATGAAGATATTGAACAAAACCGGCCCCAGGACCGACCCCTGGGGCACTCCACTTGATACCGGCTGCCATCTAGACATGGAGCCATTGATCACTACCCATTGAGCCTGACAATCTAGCCAACTTTCTACCCACCTTATAGTCCATTCATCCAGCCCATGCTTCTTTAACTTGCTGACAAGAATACTGTGGGAGACAGTGTCAAAAGCTTTGCTAAAGTCAAGAAACAACATGTCCACTGCTTTCCCTTCATCCACAAACCAGTAATCTCATCATAAAAGGCGATTAGATTAGTCAGGCATGACCTTCCCTTGGTGAATCCATGCTGACTGTTCCTGATCACTTTCCTCTCGTGTAAACGCTTCAGGATTGATTCCTTGAGGACCTGCTCCATGATTTTTCCAGGGACTGAGGTGAGGCTGACTGGCCTATAGTTGCCAGGATCCTCCTCCTTCCCTTTTTTAAAGATGGGCACTACATTAGCCTTTTTCCAGTTGTCTGGGACTTCCCCTGATCGCCATGAGTTTTCAAAGATAGTGGCCAATGGCTCTGCAATCACGGCTGCCAACTCCTTTAGCACTCGGATGCAAGGCATCTGGCCCCATGGACTTGTGCACATCCAGCTTTTCTAAATAGTCCCTAACCACTTCTTTCTCCACAGAGGGCTGGCCACCTACTCCCCATGCTGTGATGACCAGTGCAGCAGTCTGGGAGCTGACCTTGTAAGTGAAGACAGAGGCAAAAAAAGCATTGAGTACATTAGCTTTTTCCACATCCTCTGTCACTAGGTTGCCTCCCTCATTCAGTAAGGGGCCCACACTTTCCTTGGCTTTCTTCTTGTTGCCAACATACCTGAAGAAACCCTTCTTGTTACTCTTGACATCTCTTGCTAGCTGCAGCTCCAGGTGCTATTTGGCCCTCCTGATTTCATTCCTACATGCCCGAGCAACATTTTTATACTCTTCCCTGGTCATCTGTTTATTCTTTACAGGATGAAACCACAAAGGTGTATCACTTGCTAAGTCAGAGATGAACTTAGCAAGACATAGACTTAGACATAGGGCTTCCTTTCAGCCCCTTTTGTAGTGGGTGCGCATGTGGCCAAGATGTGCCATACAGTGTACACTGACCGGAGAATGGCA